TCTTGAGAGACCTTAAAAGTGTGGTTTTGAACTCTATATCCTCCATTTCTGTCAGTTGTGTCCTGTTTGTCTCCGCATTTTTTATGCTTTCTTGGTGCACCCCCTTGTGGTCTTTGTGCAAGGTCTTGTTGTAGTTAAGCCTTGATTATTGTAGGTAATACTGGGGGGGGGGGAGGGGGGATTTCACCTCCAGGTCAACTGGCTGTGAGAATCAGCTGTCAAAGATTTAATTAATAAAAAAAAAATATGTATTGCTCTCTCCTAACTACATGTCCTCTATCTCCTATCTCACATTCTTCATCTGGCAATAGGTGTTCTGCCCTCACTCTCCCCAGCCTGGGGTGGGGGCGCCTTCCTGGCTCCTGGAGCACCTCATGCCCACTTCTTGTGAGGGAGGGAGGAGACAGCTCTGACCCGGCGATAGGGAATGACAGCTGTGAGCATGCTGAGTGTGAAGGGCCCACGCTGCAGCCTTGGCCCATAGAGGCTCTGTCCTCTTTCCCTGTCTCCCTCAGGATGCCAGGCCAGTGGCTGTTCTGTTTCTTGAGGCCCCACTGCACTGTGGGCGGGGATGCTCTGTCAGAAGGCAACCTGCATTCACGAGTGCCCCTTCTCTTCTTCCATTTGCTGCCGCATGTGATGGGCCGGCTCTTCCTCTCCATGTGGCTGTTTGAGTAAGTGGCTTTGGGAAGGTCCCCCACTGAGCTCACTAATTCCTGTCACTAACCACCAGAATGCTGAGATTTTATGTTGGGGGAAGAGGATATTCTAGAGCAGTGGTTCTCAACCTTCTGGCCCTTTAAATACAGTTCCTCATGTTGTGACCCAACCATAAAATTATTTTCATTGCTACTTCATAACTTTAATGTTGCTACTGTTATGAATCGTAATGTAAATATCTGATATGCAGGATGGTCTTAAGCAACCCCCGTGAAAGGGTCGTTCGACCGCCAAAGGGGTCACGACCCACAGGTTGAGAACCACTGTTCTAGAGTCTTGGGCCTCAGCCAGGTGCCCTGACTCAGCTTAGGGCAGCCCTGAATCTGAATCATCAGATACTTGCCCATTTGGAATTTTGTTCTCCATTTGGCAACTGATTCTCAAAACTACAGCTTTGTCAGAAAACTGCAAAGGGAAGCATGATGAGTAGGATGGAAGAACCTAGCTATATCCAAACCTCTAACACTCTCATCTTAGCACTTCTAAGAATGCACTGTAATTATCTGTTTCCCTCATTAGACAGTAAATTGCCTGAGATACTATTATTGATCTTTATATCCCCAGCGCTTAGTACAATGCCCAATATATATAAGGTGCTCAAAAATGTTAAGTGAATGACTGGACAGATGGATGAGTTTGGCCATTCTGGGCCTACTTCATCAATCTAACCCCTGGCTATTCTGCCCCTGCTCCTGTCATTTCCTACATGAGTTGCAGCTGTCCCACCTCTGAGTTTAGCCCAGCTGGTCACCTTACATAGAGTGTCCTCATTCCAGCTCAACATTCACCTTCTCCATTACGCCCTTTCCAAGCTGGTTCTGGACACTCGTTCCCCTTTCTAAATGCTTCTTGTTCAGCACTGTTATTCTCGAATTTGTTTTAAGTGTGCCAGAGTTATACTCTTAACTGGATTCTATGTGACCTGGTCTTGACTTACTTCTTCTGTGAGATAGCATCAGGCAGGGTAGAGTTTGTAACTAGAGGAGCCTCTGCCTGGACCCCTAACCTGAATAAGGTAGAAAGTCACATAGTTTCCCTGGGCCTCAGTTTCCTTATATGTGAAAATCGGCAGAATAATTATCTGCTTGAATGTGTCATGGCATTGTAAAGATAAACATAAAAATGTAACAGCATCTGCAAAAAAGTTATGAATAATTTATACTTAATAGAGTTTGGATGAGAGGAGAGCTTAATAATGCTTATAGAGTTGTGCTGTTTATAGACTATCTAATCTAATAAAAGAGAAACATTCAAATTGACCATACCTTCACTACGCCCCCAAGCCACGCCTAACAGTCAATCAGAGCGACTATATTCAAATAACCCAACCAAGATGGCGGCCGGCAGCCACGGAGCTGGAGCAAGCAGGAGGCTTGGTTGCCCCGGTGATGGAGGAAGCCAAGCTTTCCACCTGCCCTGCTGGCTCTGGCCTCCACTGAAGGCAACAAAGTTTCAATTATAGAAGGTAAATAAACCCCAGATACCTGCTTCCAGCAAACCTCCACTGGCAGCTTAGGTGGCTGGGGCCGTGGCCAGCCTACAAACAGCCATTTGCCCCTCACCCAGGCTGGACAGGCACCCCAGGGGGGACCACCACCCTGAAGGGGGTGTGACCAGCCTGCAAACAGCCATCAGCCCCTCACACCCCAGCAGGACTACCCTCCCTGAAGGGGGGTGTGGCCAGCCTGAAAATGGCCCTCAGCCCCTCACCCAGGATGGCCAGGCACCTCAGCGGGACCCCCACCCTGATCCGGGACACCCTTCAGGGCAAACCAGCTGGCCCCCACCCATGCACCAGGCCTCTATCCTATATAATAAAAGGGTAATATGCAAACTGACCCTAACAGCAGAACGACTGGGAATGACTGGTCACTATGACACACACTGACCACCAGGGGGCAGACGCTCAATGCAGGAGCTGTCCCCTGGTGGTCAGTGCACTCCCACAGGGGGAACTCTGCTCAGTCACAAGCCAGGCTGATGGCTGCCAGTACAGCGGTGGTAGTGGGAGCCTCTCAGCAGCGCTAAGGATGTCTGACTCTATCTTAGGCCTGCTCCCCGCTGGCAAGTGAGCATCCCCCAAGGACTTCCAGGCTGCCAGAGGGATGTCTGACTGCCAGCTTAGGCCCAATCCCCTGGGGAGCAGGCCTAAGCCAGCAGGTAGTTATCCCCTGAGGGGTCCCAGAATGCAAGAGGGCACAGGCCAGGCTGAGGGACCCCCTTGAGTGCACAAATTTTTGTGCACCGGGCCTCTAGTGTGTATGTATGTGTGTGTGTGTATGTGTGTGTGTGTGTGTGTGTGTGTGTGTGTGTGTGTGTGTGTATGGCTAATATGCTAAGTGTCTGTCCGATCAGTTGCTATGTTGCTATGATGCACACTGACCACCAAGGGGCAGACATTCAACAAAGGAGCTGCCGAGCTGCAGTGACTTGGCAGTGGTGGTTCTTGGGCGATGCACCCTAAAACCTTCGGCTGTGGGTTATGTTGTTGCTGGGGCACTGTTGCCCCAAATCTGGTTTACTGCACATTTGCGTTTGTGTTCCACACCCTGTATGACAGCAACTTTCCAGAGTGCCCTCTCGCATTTTGGGACCCCTCAGGGGATGTCGGAGAGCCGGTTTCGGCCCGATCCCCACAGGCCAGGCCAAGGGACCCCACCTGCCAGAGGGACCCCCTCACTCCGCAGACATCCTTTAAGCCATGGCACTACCGCAGGTGCTGCTGGCCAGGGAGGGACTGCGGGAGGTTGACTCCAGGGCATGTCTGGCACATCTCGCTCAGTCCCGCCCCTCCGGCCACCTTCTAATTAATTTCCTTTCAATGTGCACAAATCCGTGTACCAGGTCACTAGTCTCATTAATGAAGCTGGAGTTGTTTTCACTGTCACTGAAGTGAGGATTATCATTTGCAATGACAGGTGGGTGATCTGGTGTCTTTATGCCTATTCCAGAGAGGATCAGCAGGCTGAAAATATTTGAGTACTACTACTAGGGATCCTGTTGGAATGCAGTGTTGCCACTTGAGCCTGCTTCCTGGTTTATGAACAATGGTCTTCTCACTGTGTCCTATGTGATAGTAGGGACAAGGGAACACTCTGGAGTCCCTTTCTATATGGGTATTAATCCTATTCATGTGTGCTCATGTTCTAATCACCCCCAAAGAGCCCACCTCGAAATACCATTGCACTGGGGATTAGGATCTCAACATATGAATGTGGAGGGACACAACCTTCCATTTGTAGCAAGGGATTTGTAACCCAGCACAGTGATCATCAAGAACATCATCCTTAGCCACTTCCCTACTCTTGCTTACTTATAACAATATCGTAACTTGAATTTTAATCCCAGTATAGACATGTGGAAAGTTGGGCAGGATTTACTACTCCCATTCCACAAGTGAGGACTCAGAAGTTGAGAGAAGATGAAGGTCAGAGAACCTGGAAGCCACTGATCAGCACCACAGAGCTCACCTGGTGTGAAGGGTTAGTCCTCTTTCTCGCATGATGAGGTGAAGAGGGGAGAGTTATACATACAATGTAGACTGTTTAATGTTTAGCCTTTCAGGCATTTAGATGTAGTGGAAAAGTCCCATTTTTTTTTATTTAAAAATTACATGTAAGAATCTAATAACAATGATTTAAAACTAAGCTCATACAAATAGGTACATGAAGGAAGAGGTTTAATAACCTTTAGCTAAATTAATTAACATACCCCATGTTGTGTGAAAACATAATCATCCAACTCAAGTGTATTTCTGCTTATGACTCAAATTCCAAGAGTAGTAGCCTAAGGAACTATGTATACCTGAGCTGTCTAACATGGTAACTGCTAGAAACAAGTGGCTATTTAAAGTTCAATAACATTTAAAACTCAGCTCCTTATTTGCATGAGCTACATTCAAATGCTCAAAAGCCACAGGTGGCTAGTGGCTACCACATTAAACAGGGGAGACAGAATATGTTTTTCAGAAAATGCTATTAGACAGCAATCCTGTCTGTGGACAGCATAGGCCAATGAAGTTAACAAGGGGTCCATGTGCATGGCAGGAGTTCATCAAATTGCTCCAAACTAGCATTCCCCTGTCCAGTGTTTCCAAATACTTCCGTTACACACACACAGCTAAGTCTTGGCCATCACAAATCATCATATCTTTATATTTTCCATAGCCACTGCTTTAATATTGGTGAAACGAGCCTTGAATTTGCTACTTGAGGGAGACTGATTTCATGAATAACTTAAAGCTCACTGTCGCAACATCAGATTTTTCACTGAGCAGCACACACTTTTGAATGCATGTTACTTTATTGAAACGAACATATATACAACGATGACAGAGGAGAGCGCTGCAGAGTGGGGCACAGGGGCTGCTTGCAATGGGAGGACAGGCAGACTCTAGCTTAACAGAATGAAATTGGGGTTGGAAAATAGGCAAAGCCCGGAGAACAAGTTTCCTCTCCCATCACCACATAGAGCGGTCTTCCAGCCTGTCAACAGAAGAAGCAGAGCGTGTGAGAGAAGCTCCCCAGCTTCCTGGGGGGCTGGCAAGAGCGAGACATTCCGTTCTGAACTGAAAGACGGTCAGAAACTGTGGAAAGGGCTCCCACTGGCATTCCATGTGGATTATCAGAGCGGGAGACAGTGGTGCAATGTGCACAGACCCAGCTGAGTAGCTTTCACTCGTGGCCATGGGAGTCTCGGCTAAATCTCAGAGGGACTATTTAAAAAGCTCTGTGTTTATCAAAGAACCCTGCAGTATTTCTAAAGATCAAAACTACAGGAGCCACACGAAACTGTAACAAGAAAGTTATTGTTGCTCAACTCTGAATATGCTTCCTTTGCTTCCCTTCAAGGCTTTTTATGTAGTTGGATGCTGTGTATTTGGACTATAAAGAATCCTTTTTAATAAAATAGCATCCACAGGCAACATCAAGGCTGTCAGGTTTTGTTTCCTTCTAACTGCACTTGATTGTGGCTGTCAATCAGGGTGCAATTAACTTTATTTCATGCCCTAACTGTGCAACTTCAGGCCACAAAACAAAGTAGGTCTGGATGGTTCTTTTTCTTATCCTAAGTAGACGGAGTATAGCTTACCCTAAGCTTTTTACCACAGCAAACACCACAGGCATGTCCATGAAACATGAAAAAGCATTTATTGATTAGTATGCAAAAGCAATCCTTATGAATTTTCCATTTGTTTCCCTTGTGTTTGCTTCTGAAATCTGGCTGGTACCTCCAGGGACATGAGCACTGCAACTTTATTCCAGTCCAAATGGTTGTTTCCCTCGGAGAAAACAAATCTAACATCTCTGGAATTGCACCTTCACCCTGGCTGGCCATTGCACAAGGGAACAGAGGAAGGGCTGGAGGGCAGGTCATCTGCTCTAACCTCCCAGGGGAACCCCAATGAAGAGGGAATCGCCAGTCACACTCACTGAGCAAGTGTTCTAGTGACCTCTTCTGGGGAACTTGGTTCTTGCCGTTGTTGAGCTCTGGGTTTAAGGCAGACAAGCTACCACAGAAATAGATGAGCTATATGCCATGTGATCTAACTGGGGGTAAAGGCAAGAGACAGCGGATGAAAACCAAGGGGGACCGGGCTTCCTTTTAGCAGAACTCCTTGTCCAGGGGCACCAGAGGGTCCTGGCCCCATGTTTGACCCTTAGATATTGGTGTGCATCTCTTCCCAAAATAGTTCACCCTCCAAGAAAGTCCCAAGGCCACAATCCCCTAAGAATAATACATTGTTCAGCATTCATTCATTGAATGCAATAAATTACTATGTGACATCAGTTGAACTAAAATATGTTAAAAAGTAAATGAGCTCCTTGTAATTTATCTACAGTTTCATGTAAAACCAGAAAGATTGGAATAAGACTCATGAAGGACATGTTCTCGGATATCCAAACACTCCTCATAGTATATAAAAAACAATGATTATGCCAGCCAAAATTGGATGATTGGTCATTTAAATGTAGAGATGGGGACTCATTCATGCTCCCCCAATTCTAACCCAATAGAAATTCTCCATAGAGTAATTTCTGCAGTAAAATTCACTTATAAAGTTTTCCAAGGAAATAATAATTTGCCAAATAATTTGCAGTAGGAAATATTACCCCACAGTTTAGAGATTGACAAATGACTACATGAAAAGAAAGGTCCTTCCCACCTTCTTCCCCATCCCCATTTCTCTCCAAATCCTACCTGGTCTGGAAGACTCCGTTCCAAAGCTTCCTCCCCAAGCAACCCTCTCTGGTTTCCCTCCCCCAGAGTCCTCACACTAGCCCTTCCATACCTAGTTCGAGGAACATTTTCTGTGCTTTCACTCAGCAAGAGGTCTGAAATCAGTGTCTCCGGGCTGGATCGTTTCCCATATCTAACAACAACAACAAAAATTCTTTAAAGCAAGTTTTGAATATTCATAAAAATATTTAGAAAAAAAGAAGATGGTCTTCCATTTGGGTTATCAAATCTAAAACTGATTTTCAGTTAATTATCTGCTAACAGTAACTTAGGTGCACAAAGCACACATTATTATCAAAAACATCATGCCCTGGCGGGTGGCTCAGCTGGTTGGAGCATTGTCCCATACACAAAAGGTGGCAGGACACATACCCTAGTTTCAGGTTCAATCCCCAGTTGGGGCTCATGTGGGAGGCAACTGATTGATGTTTCTCTTACAGCCATGTTTCTCTCTCCCTCTCTCTCTCTCTCTCTCTCTCTCTCTCTCTCTCTCTCTCCTCCTCCTCCTCCTCCCTCCCTCTCTCTAAAATTGATTAAAAAGTAAAAAATAAAAAAACATCATAAATATGACTTTGAATTAAATATGTATATAATTTTTACATACTTAAATAACAGCAGATTATTTAAACCCAACCAAAATTCCAAATTCTTGTCTTTTTATACCACAAATAATGTATGTGTAGATATATTTATAACTAGGTGATAGGAAATAAAAGTACATGAAAGTATGATTTTAATGTTTCCATAATTAGTTAATTGGCTATAGTTCGAATGATATACAGCAGTTTAAATCTTAAAGAGACTAGATGATATTTAAGAAACATCTCTAACAACAAAATTGGTGACTAAAGTTCTAGACCCACCTGTGTCTTTTAATCTTAGTTTTTTTCATTTGTAAAAACAAAATTATAACATACTTAAATCAGACTCTGTGAAAATGCAGTGTGTCACAATGCTTTGAAAGTGACAAAGTGATACACAAATGCAAGCTGCTGCTGCTGAAATCCACACTTTCTTAATGATAGCAATAGAACCTGGGTTCTATATTTTCCTTATTTATTTGGGGTACCACAAGCTAAAAGCCTTCTCTCATGCTGTGATTTTTTTGTTTTGTTTTGTTTCAAGTAGTCATATAGTTTTTATTTTATTGTTTGAAGTATTACAAATAGTAGCACGTCTCCTTTTTTTCCCCCATTGACATCCCCTGCCCTTGCCTCCCCTACCCCCCCCCACATGCCCTACCCCCCCTCCCCCCCCCCCCCCCCCCCCCCAGTGTCTTGCGTCCATTGGGTATGCTTATATGCCATGCTGTGATTTTAATCTGCCCTGTAAGAATAAAGGAACCCTACTGGTCCGTAGAAATGTTTCTGGTCTTTTTCTCCTGTTGCAGGATATGAATAGGACAATATCTGAATGCAAGGCTATGCTTTCCTGTCAGGATGGCATACATTACTTTCTCCAGGTGAGTGAGTAAATGGATCCATGCCTCCGTCCCTTTTTCTTTCTCTCTCTCTCTCTCTCTCTCTCTCTCTCTCTCTCTCTCTCTCTCTCTCTCTCGAGTCTAACAAATCTACAGTACTAAATTGCATTTTTTTAAAGAGGCTGTTTGCCCCTTTTTCAAAAAAAGCACTGGACACCAACAGCCACTTTTTTTTTTCCGCAAATGAGAGATTAGCCTGGCTGGATTGATTAGCTAGGAGATAAAACTGAGGAACAGAGCTGTCAGAAGGCATATTCTGACTGCCTATCAAGCACAATTAAACTAAGTTTGGGGGGAAATCTTCCTATTATTGCTCCTTTTCTGGGACCCAAGGGAAGAAAAAAATAAGCAGATGCCCCTGTCCCCATCATTTGTAAGGTTTCCTCAAAGATTTCCTGGAGCTGTCTTATCAGACTTGAGGCTGCTGCTTATACTTGTGTATTCTGTCCATCAGTTGATTTTACTAATCTTAAAACTCTTGGGCAACCTTCACTCATTTATCTTCATCATGCTCCAGTGAATGAAAGAACTGGCCGATATTTTCTCCAATTTACCAGGTAAAGAAACTACATCTATAATAGCAGGATTTGCACAGGACAGCACTGTTCACTGTTCTTCCTTCTCTAATTTATTCTGGATTATCCTTTTTCTCTACAATGCTTTAATTTTCAAAGGTATAGATTCTGTAGAGGGGGGAATATCCCAATCCTGGCTGCACATGAGAGAGCTTTTAAAATTGCTCTGAAGTCCAAGATCCACCCTTACCCCCAGGTTCTGACTAAACTGGACAGGAGTGCAGCCTAACACCAGCATATTGTTTAAATTTCTCAGATGACTGCAAGGTGTCACCAGGGTGGAGAAACACTTATCTAGGACTGGGTTCCTCAACCACAGCACTATGGACATTTGAGGCTGGCTAATTCCTCGTGGAAGGGGGCTGTCCTAGGCAGAGTAGGGTGTTCAGCAGCATCCCTGGCCCCTACCCACTAAATGCCAGTAGCACCACCCCTCACTGTGATAATAAGAAATGTCTCCAGACATTGCCAAATATCATGGGAGCAAAAACCAGCCTGAGGTGAGAGCCACTGATCTAACAAGATGTGGATCTACCATGCTCTAGAAAAAAAATAATGCAGCTTTTGAAAGTAGTGAACCAGGGTACACAGCTTAAAAACATGAAGTGTGTGGAAAAAGGGAGGAAAGAGAGCATTTATGACAAAATCAAACATATATTCACAAATGACACCATAATCTCCAAAAATACCAACATGTGCATCTGAGCGGGTGTGTGTGGTGGGAAGGCAATACACATACAGAATGCAGATTATTGGTGCAGATTATAAACCTCTAATAGTTCCTAAGGAGGAATTTATATGAAGATAAGACAAAAACTCTGCTCTAGGGCCAACTCATTTCCACTGAATCTGAATCTCTTCCCATGAAACTCAAGTCCCTTCCCCTTGTTTCTCATCAAAGATGTTGGAAGTCATATTGACTGCTGATGGTGGTGACAACATCCAAGGAAAATGAGTACGAGGGCTCCAATTTCATCACCCCTAAAAAGATTCCATGAAATGTTCTTAGTAAAATGGAGATAAATATACTCACTCCAAAGCTCTGAGGTAAAGACTGAACAAAGTAAGTCCTAGGAAAACATTTTGAAATGCTAAAGCTTTATACCGTATAATGATAAAGCTTTATAGCAACTGTCTTTTCAAAACTAAGTTCTCCTGGGTGTTATAAATGACAAACTAAAGAACTAATAAGGGTTTTCTTAGAAAAGAACAATATCATTTTTATTTGTACAAGTTCTTTTCTCTGGTCTGTAAGATAGCATAAGCAAGAACTAAAAGCAATTAACTTTCTGAGAAGTCTATTAGGATATAAAACTCTGTTGCCTTTCAGTAATTAACATTATCAGTCTTCAAGGACCATAAGCCAATACTACTTAATTCTGGTACTCTCATGTATTTCTGATTCTATGTAAATTGGGATCTTTTAGAAAACTTCTCAGGATGAAACAGCTTTTTGATGAAACATAAAAAAGAAACTTCATTTAAGAAATAGAAATTCTCCCCTCTTTGCATCCATTCCAACTATTCCCTGACTTGTACACAGCAAAAATATGATAAAAACAAAAACAACACTTTATAAAACATAATTTAAATATATTAAATAGCATTAGTGCTTTTAAAGGGTTCATTGTTTTTTAGCTTATTAAGGTCATTTGATCTTGAGAATTAAAATAATAAAATATTGAATGATTCAGAACTAAGATGAACCAATTTTAGAAACATTTTAAATCCTAGATTATCTGTAAAATTATTTGGATTTGAATTTTTGCTTAATATTTGACAATGAGAGTGAAAATGTGGGATTTCATTTCAGCTTCCTGGGGGTTCGGCATGAGGTTTACAATTTCCTGAATTCCATGCAATCTCTGGAATCACCCCAGAGTGACTAGACCAATAAGCTTCTACCTAAAAAAGCACCCAGCAGACACTTTCTTTTCAGGACTCACCTGCTATAAAATGGGCAAACGTCTGTATTTTAGATCAACTTGTTTTCTGCTAAATCTCTATTTATTTGGACCAGAATTTTCAAGTAACGGTCTGAGACACACACAGTACAGAAGAGAAGAAAATAGCTCTATTTGTCTTTTCCTAAACACTGTCACTCCATTTGCTCTGGGCAGACTGGAAAACCTGGCAATGTCTTTATCAACCAGCTCTTTCCTCCTTGGGTTTTGTTGTTATTTTTCCTGGACCACCCTGCCCTCTGGCTTCCCTGCAGCCATTGGGGGTGGGGAGCACTGCCCAACCTTTCACCTGGTACTTACCCTTCCTGGTTCCAAAACAGTACCCCCACTGCTCTAAGAACAAAAAAGGCAAGGGGATGATGGGTAGGAGGGGATGCCAGCCACACAGTGCGGAGAACCTGATTCTGGGGATGGGGACTTTGTGACTAACTGCAGAGGGAAAGTACTCAGTGCCTTGTACAAACATTCCCTGAGAGCTGACCATCCCGATTCGGTCCTGCCCTGGGATACAGCGAAGGAGAAGAAATGGTCCCTGTCCTCTCGGAGACCCCAGGACCCTGGGTAAGCAGGACAGGAGGCTCCTGGAGGAGGTCCCTCGCGGCCCACCCACCTCTGCCTGGTGATGAGGTTGATGTAGTGTCGCAGCGCAGAGTAGTATCTGGCCAGCTCCTCCGCAGACGCGTTCTCCCCGGGCTTCTCGGGCTTGGAGGGGTACGCCTCGGTCAGCGCGCCCAGGCACACGAGCAGGGACAGGGCGAGCGCCAGGCGGGACAGCCCCAGTCGCTTGCTCCCCAGCATCTGAGGGCACCAAAGGTGCAGGGAAAGGGGTGGGGGGTTTAAAGGACACATGCCACACCCAACCCCCCCTCGCTTCCCAGAGCCTGTTCCCCTGCTAACACCCAGGACCCCCGAAACGAGCTAGACCCCGGCGATACAAAGGTGGGCGAGTGTGGCCAGCCCCGCCCGGCTTAGGGTACAATCTGCGCGCCCCCTCCACTCCACTTGGAAACTCCCTGCGACTTCGGTCCAAGTCACAGGCGGAGAGTGGTGTAGTTGGAGGCACCAGTTTAGACCCTGTAATTAGTTAAGTTCCCCCTGCTGCGTAAAGGGACATCACTCTCCTATCCTCCTTCCCCAAACCCTGTCCGGGAGGAAAGTTTCTTCCTGAGACTTCTGGTCTGCGTCTGCAGGCGCCGGGGAGACGGCCGAGACCACTCGGGTTGGCCATTTGGGGGAGAGAGGAGAGAACTGCGCCCGGGCCAGTGGGTCTCAGGTCGGATCCCAGGCTGGACGTGCTGCGTCCAGGATACAGGATTCTTCACTCAGGGGCGCTGCCTGGGAAACCTCCCTGCAGGCTGAGACCCCAGGAAACCGCCACCTGGGGTTTGAGGGGTGGGGGGGCGAGTTCTCCCTCCCCTTTCTCCGAAAGGCAACCCAGAGGACCACCCAGCCGGGAGGAGAGGGGCTGGGAGAAGGGCGGCTGTAGGATCAGAGGGGACCAGGAGGGCAGGTGGAATCATGTGGCCAGGGCGGCTGGAGCGTATAGGGGCGGGAAAGCACCCCACAAGTCCAGCAGGGGCTGGGGAGTGGGGCACGGCCCTCCCAGCGCCCCAGGCTCCGCAGAGGGTGGGACAGGGTCCCGCACCGAACCCCTGGGCTCCCGTCCAGGCCCGAGGGCACTCACGGTGACGGCGGTGGCGGGCGGGCGGGCGTGGCGGGGCAGCGAGTACTCTGCTGTCCTGTCCGGAGCACCTCTCCCTGGTGTGAGAGCCGGTGATGGGGTGTCGTGAGCGGGTTGTAGCAGGGCTTTTATGGAGCTCCCGCAGCGACAGGAGGGGCCTCGGGCAATCACGCTCCAGTGACTCCCACCCTCCACTTCCCGCCTGGAGGCGGCGGCGGGGGAGGGGTTGGGACCGCTGCAGCTAGAGTGTCTGCGGGGAGCCACCCACATCACACCCCAACTCTCCAGGCCAGGCCCTGCCCGGCGGTAGGGGGCCGGCACCACGTGAGGGAGCGAGGCGGGCACTCCCCAGTGCTGGACTGCGCCAAAGCCTAGTCCCGGCCCTCCAGCGGCGCCCAAACGGCCCGGCTAGTCCTGCCAGAGACAGGAGCAGCCCAGCTCATCTTTGTCGCCTGTCACCAGGATCACCAACTCGCTTGGCTCCAGGGTAGGGGGTTCCTGCACTCTCTACTCAGTGGAGCATCTCCACGACCCAAGCGCACCCACACAACTCCGGTGTGGGGTCAGGCAGACAACCTGACGCGCACATTTCCCTGCGCTTAAAGCAGGTGGGAGCGCCAGCCCCAAGCCCCCAGCCAGAGGGTCCCAAAGGCACCCTCTCCTCCCAGGCTTCGGCCCCTCTCCCCGGCTTGTGTTGCAGGGACATAAGCCCTTCCCAAGAACTGGCCCAAGGGCGGGACCTGAGTGTGGAGACCGAAACTCCGAAACTCTGAAACTCCTAGTGAGGCAGCACATGGTAAACTCACTTCCTCAGTTTGCTGGGAAAGAACCAGGTTTCAAGAGGTGAGGGACCCCTTAAAACTCAATCAAAAGGAACATTTTGTTCCCAAGCGACATGTAGTTAGAGGGACAAATTTTGCCTTGGCCAGGTGGCTCCCTTGATTGAAGTGTCCTCCCGGGCAGCAAAAGGTTGCAGGTTCCACCCCCCTGGGGCAGCTGGAGGCAACTGATCAATGTTTCTCTTTCTCTCTCTCTCTCCCTCTCTCTCCCCCCTCCCTTCCTTCCTCTCTCTAAACATATCCTCTGGTAAGGATTAAAAAGAAAGAAAAATGTAACAGCAATTTATCTCTAATCAGCTAGCTCTTAATCTCAAATATGTTCAATTAACGTTGATGAAGAATGTGTGTTCTGATGGAAATAAAACAGGTAAAAAAAATATCACTTATTTGTGCATCATTGAATGAATATGAAAGATATAGAAACCACTTTTACAGGTTCAGTACTTTACGTAGTGGACTGCCTCTTTAAATTCCCTGAATGCTCCTGGAAGTCTGAATCTTTCTTTATAAAATGGCACATTAGGATACTAAAGCATTAAGTTACGTGTTATTTTAACCTTAAAATGACAAGTGAGTCTGTTAAACAGATTGTTTTTGTGCCTTTTTGACTGAATTGACTTAAATATCAATGACTGCGTAGCAAGCAATCCTGTTGTGTTAGAAATTTTGAAGACCAACATCCCTTTCACTTAGCTGACTGCATCTTTTCCATACTACATAAACACATGCCAGAAACACAAATATCAGGGCTCTTGGCGTTGCTCAGGATGCTGAAAGAGTTTTTGTTAGAGCAGAACACCTTTTAACGTAAGAGCCCCTTTCTTGATAAGGGGAAGAGCAAAGTCCACTTTCAATAAAATAATCTTATTTCATCATCAGTTGAAACCCAGACTTGGGAGTATAACCCACCCCTCTATTCTTTCAATATTGTTTCTGTTTAAAGTGTTTTTGTAAAAAATGAATTGTTAACTAATATGTAACCCGTAGGTAAACAGCATTAATTGTGAAAGAGTTCCAAAAACTAACTTCAAAGGAAGCTGATTCCAGCAACCAACATTCTGGGTCCAGGAGATTTGCTGACTTTCAACGATTAAAACCACACCTTCACTTGATCAGCCTTGAGATGATCACCAGAACAGACTGCACTAACTTACACATAGAGAACTTTCAATCCCCTCCCCGATTTCTTTGTTCTGCTTTCCCTCTCCCTCCTAATAAAAACCCTGCCTGCCCTGAGATATTAAGATGGTCTTTAGGACAGGAGTCCACCATCTCCTCAAGCTGCCGACACTTGAATAAACCCTCTTTCCTTACATTAGCACCTCTCTCTTTTGGGTATTGGCTTTCCAAAGGGCAGGGCATCAAACCTGAGTTCGGTATCAGAAGGAGTCATTGAATTACTTCTAAGGAGAAATTACTTTTCCAAGGAGATGTACTACTCCTGAGTGGTAAAGAAGGTGTAAATTTGATTAATTTAGCTTAAGATAATATCACTGGTACCCAAAAAAGAAGAGCTTATTCTCAGAGTTCTGCAATTGGAGCATAAAAAAATGGAGCCATGTGCCCTACATGTATCCTTCCATCCTTATCCCCTTTCTCTAGTCCCAACTGCATCCCCTGGCCTTGGGCTCTGAAAAGTCTGTCTCTCCTTTCAGGACTCTGCTCCCTTAATTGTCTCTTCTCTTTCCTATAATTCTCTATGCATATAAAAATATATACTTAATGCTTATAAATTTGCTGGAGTTTGCTTCACAAAAGAAACAAAGCAAAACCAAATCTCCACCCCCAACAAACAAAGCCTCAGTCACTGTCTCCAGGATCTCCTTCTAGCTGCTGAGCCACTTCTCTCCTTTGTTTCAAAACTGTTTATTTATTTATATGTATACTAGAGGCCCAGTGCACAAAAATTTGTGCACTCGGGGGGTCCCTCAGCCCAGCCTATGCCCTCTTGCAGTCTGGGACCCCTCAGAGGAATCCACCTGCTGGCTTAGGCCCGCTCCCTGGGGGATCGGCCCAAGCTGGCAGTCAGACATCCCTCTGGCAGCCCGGCAGCTCTTGGGGGATGTCCACTTGCCAGCGGGGAGCAGGCCTAAGCTGCAGTCAGACATCCTTAGCGCTACTAAGTAGGCGGGAGAGGCTCCTACCACCACCGCTGTACTGGTAGCCGTCAGCCTGGTTTGTGGCTGAGCAGAGCTCCCCCTGTGGGAGTGCATTGACCACCAGGGAGGAAGCTCCTGCACTGAGCATCTGTCCCCTGGTGGTCAGTGTGTGTCATAGTGACCAGTCATTCCCAGTCTTTCTGCTGTTAGGGTCAGTTTGCATATTGCCCTTTTATTATATAGGATAGAGACCTGGTGCATGGGTGGGGGCTGGCTGGTTTGCCCTGAAGCATGTCCCAGATCAGGGTAGGGGTCCCGCTGGGGTGCCTGGCCAGCCTGGGTGGGGGGCTGATGGCTGTTTACAGGCTGGTCACACCCCCTTCAGGGTGGGGTCCCTACTGGGGTGCCTGGCCAGCCTGGGTGAGGGGCTGATAGCTGTTTGCAGGCTGGTCAAGCCCTCCACAGTGGGGACCCTGACCCCATGGAGGTTTGGCGAGCCTGGGTGAGGGGCTGATGGCTGTTTTCAGGCTGGCCACACCCTCTTTATGGTGGGGGGTCCACTGGGGTGCCTGGCCAGTCTGGGTGAGGGGCTGAAGGCCGTTTTCAGGCTGGCCAAGCCCCCCGGCGATGGGAGCTCCCAGCCTCTTCTTTTTTTCTTTTTCTTTTTTTATTCTGGGATTTATTTACCTTCTATAATTGAAACTTTGTAGCCTTGAGAGGAGCTCAGAGCTGGCCAGGGTGGGCGAAAGGGAAGCCTCCTGCTCACTCCAGCTCTGCGGCCACAGCCGGCTGAAAGCAGGTATCTGGGGTTTATTTACCTTCTATAATTGAAACTTTGTTGCTTTGAGTGGAGCTCAGAGCCTCAGCGGCAGGCGGGAAGCTTGGCTTCCTCCATCATTGGGGCAACCAAGCCTCCTGCTTGCTCCAGCTCCATGGCTGCCGGCCGCCATCTTTGTTGGGTTAATTTGCATATAGTCACTCTGATTGGCTGGTGGGCATGGCTTAAGGCACAGTGAAGGTATGGTCAATTTGCATGTTTGTCTTTTATTAGTGTAGATTTATTTTTAAGAGCTTTATGGAGATACAATTGAGATATATTGATCTACTACTGTTTAAGCTGTTCCATTGGATATATTTCTCATCAATATACTCCAATGAGGTCATCACCACAATTAAGGTAATGAATACGTACATACATCACCACCAAGTTTCCTCCTGCCCCTTTGTAATTCCTTCTTTCTGCCTCCCTCCCCCATTGATCTGCTTTCTGTCATTAGAGATTTGTCTGCATTTTCTAGAACTGTATATAAATACAATTTCATGGTATGTACTCATTTGTCTGCCTTCAGCATCATTATTTTCAGATCTACTCATGTTATTACCCATATTAATAGCTCATTTCTTTTTATTGCTGGGTAGTATTCGATGATATAGATATATATTAAATGTGGTTTTTAAAAATCTATTCAACTACCCATGGACTTTGGGTTGTTTCCAGTTTGGACTATAACAAATAAAGCTCCTATGAACATTGGTTTACAAGTCTATATAGCCATATGCTTTTATTTCTCTTGGAAAAAATACTTAAGGGCAGAATGGCTGGGTCATATGGTAAGTGATGCTCTCCCACACTTTATTGATGATCTGTTCATTTTTTATTGTTTTGCTTTTTTTCTGTGTGTATCTTATTGGATAGTTTCTATTGGTATGCCTTTGAGTTGACTATTTCTTCTTCAATATCTAAGCAATACAAAGTCCATGTAGCTTTTATCTCTAGAATTTCAATTTTGGGTTTTTTTTTAATCTTCCATGTCTCAACATGCCTGATCTTTAGCTTCTTAAAAATACATTGATAATAACTTGTCTACTGCTTCCATCATCTATATCATTTCTGTGATACTATGGATTGATTTTTCACTTCATTTTGGCTTATACTTTCCTTCTTCTTTGTCTGCCTGGTAATTTTCAATAGGGTGCAAGGCACTGTAAATTTTACCTTACTGTCTGTCCGATGTTTTTGTACTTATAAACTATTTGTGGGTGGTTATTTTGGGACACAGTTAAAAACTTGGAAATAGTTTGATGCCATCAAGCCTTCCATTTAAGTTTTTTAGGAGGGACCAGAGCTGGCTTACTCTAGGTTTAGTTTTCCCCACTTCTGAGGAATATGATATCGTGTATCATATATAGTCCAAAATATTTTCAAAATCCTTAAACTACAAGGCTAACATATTTTGGACCCTATTTACCCTTATGGCCTACTTAATCTAATTTTCTCCTTTACTCCCT